GTGCGGGGCTGCTGGGCTGCATCTTTGCCCCCAAGTGCTACATTATTTTGTTAAAACCTGAGAAAAACTCTCTCACTGGGATCAGGGACAAAACAAATTCCCTCAGAAAGGAGCCTTCTTATCATTAAACTTATGTTTCCTGTTATATACAGAGGACCTCAGTTCAAAGCTGAACCATATGGGAAGTCAGATACTATAGTCTACTATAGGACTTACACCCTTACAAAGTGATGTAACTTCTTTTTCTAATAGCATAATGTTCACTAGAAAGTGTGGTCCTCATCTCTTTCAGTTGATTTTATTCTGGATATTTTGATGCCTGTTTAGTCAGAGTTCATGCAATTGTTTCTATAATTATGCTATCCATTTTTGTCTTCCTTTTGGCTTTCCCAGTATTTCTTCTAATTTTAAAAAGACAGTAAATTCCTTCCTATATGTCACTGTGTTTCTGAAACTTTTAATAAGTTTTGTCAGCATTTTCTATTGAAGGAAGATGCTGTGTGCAATGTGCTAATTATACTCTAGCTTGGTAGTTGTGTGTATATTTATCTCCTTGCATTTCCCTTTGAAATTAGGTAAACTACTTTTACACATTCCGTCTCACATGGCATTTAGGATTCTAGCATTGTCTGGTCATAGGCAAGGATGTACACCTTTGATTGTATGACGCCACTGTACTGAACTTATAGAATACTTTGGGGAAGAACTTGTAGATATTCAGTAGAACCTCTTTCCATCTCAGATTTATGTTTGCTTTTATCCTTACTAATCATAATTTCTGGACAGCTATATATATGTATAATGTGCAATTGAATCATATTATATACAGTTTTATTATGTATAGTTTATTGAATAAATATTCTTCTCACATTTATACCCAGATTTTTAAAGGGTTTGCAGATCATGTGATAAGAAATGTTTTTCCTGCCGGATGTTCTTTACTGTGTATGTACCTATGGATTCCCGTTACTGCAGCATGGTGTTACAGGCATGTGATCCCAGCGCTCTGGAACAGTGAGGATGGAGATTGCAAGTTTGAGCTCAACCCAGGTTACTTAGAGACTTAACAAGCACCTGTCTCAAGTCAGTAATAAATAAGGTAGTGCCCTGTTTTAGTTACAGTGCCCATCCATTTTTTGGCTTCTGAGTCATTATTTTCTCTTTAAATGTTTACATTTAAGAATTCCACTAATAATGTTGAATACTTACTTCTAATTAAAAGCTTCATTGATCACAGAATGTAGATCTTTGACAATGTTGACAGTATATTTGTACAAAATATTTGGTATGTATTTTAAATGAATGCAAGAATATTTCCCCTTTGTATTCAGTTATGAGTATGCATATGCAATAGAGGATTTACTGGAGGGACTCAAACAGTGGTTATATGGATGGGTGGGTGGAAGCATGGACGGCTGGGTGGAGAGAGTACTAAAGGCAAAAAGGGTGAGTAGAGTTCACGGCTCCATCGATGGCACAAAAGAGTGAAGGAGATCGAGCGAGAAACATGAAAACAAAATGACGATCAGGAGAGTTTTATTCTTTTCTTGCTGTCTTCAGATGTTTCCAATATATCCCGTCAAAACCTCAATACATTTGAAATACAAAATATTAGAGTTCATCACTGTCCCCATCTGAAACAAACTTACAGAAATACAACTGCCCCCCTTCAGATCCCGTCAATTTGGCACAGCCCAAGCTCTTGGTATCACTAAGTCACCTGCCTACATAAATTCTTAGTCACCAGGTCTTTTAGCTTCCTTTACTGTGTCTCCATTTCTGTATTTCCACATGCTCGGGCTTCTCTACCTGTCACCTCCAGTCCTTTCCAAATTCCTCCCACAAACCAGCTCCCAATGCTCTCAGACCATATGGTCAGGTACACTGACCACAACGACAATTCTCTGCTACCAAAATCTTTCTCAGTCCCTTCTTCATTGCTGAGACAAAATACTGAATACCTGCAACTGAAAGGAAGAGAGACTTATTCACTCATGATTTTAGTTACAGGTCGGCAGGCTCCGAGGCAGAAAGACAGCACGGAAGGGCGTGGCAGAAGAAAGCCGTTCAGCCACAGCAGTGAGGAGGCAAAGAGAGAAGGGGGAGTCAGGGACAGGGACACAGACTGTCAGGTTAAGTCCCAGGACCCCACCTCCAGCCAGGCCCCACCTGCTGACAGTACATTTTGGTAACAGTCTTATCTGGGGATGAATCCCCTGAAGAACACAGGGCCCCATGATGTAATCACCTTCCACACACAAGACTTTGAGGGACACATAGCAGAGGTTGTGGGAAAATGGGGTGCAAAGAAGGTGAAATTTCGTGAGCAATGAGTGGGTGCCAGAATCATGCTTGTCCCTCCGTGCTGTAGTCCGCAGCAGCCCCCAGTAGGAGACGTCGTTATCCACAACTGTACACATGGGAAATGGGGTATTTGAGGAGAAATTGATTCACTGAGGTCCCCCTCCTAGAGCCGGGGCAGGACTGGGATTCAGGCTCCAGCCTGGGCCGCTCCTCTCCCAGCCGCACCTGCACTCTCTTCCTGGCCCGAAACTGCTTGTGAAGCCCCAGGGCTGGCAAGGAATTCCTCTGACTTCAGGTCCTGACTTTTGTTCTGTCAGGAGGTGGCATTCAACTGCTGCCACTTACAACTTAGCCAATGAGTTAATGTTAATCCTGTTAAGTAGGAAGCCGTGCTGAGCTGAATACTGTGATAGTAGATACAAATTCTGAAGCCTTCACATGGTATTCAGGTCTAGAAGTCAAGAAGACAGTGAAATCCACCCATCAAACACCAGACAAGAATGGGAAACTGAGGCTCTGAGAAATGGGTGACTTCTCAGGCAGAGCCAGGATGCCGACCCAGAGGGCACATGAGTCCCTGTCCACTTCAGCTGACTTCCTCACATCCTGACCCACATGCTGCTCCAAGCCAGACCCTCTCAACTGCCTGGGGCAGCCCCTCCACTGAGCCATTTCCTGCACATCACTGATGTCTCCTGTAAGATATGTGCAGGAATGGTAATGAGACACGTGTGTCATTGCTGCAGAAGTGGCGTGGGAAGGGGCCCAAACCTCACTTCATGTAATGTTTGATCAGGTCTCCTAAATGCTCACTTCTGCCCAGGTCTGCTCTAGGTGCGTAACAGGTAAGTCCGCTTCTGCTTGGCAGAAGCACAATGAGGTGTGGACCATTATTATCCTGATTTTTCAGATGTGGACGTGGAAACCCAGGGATATAAGGTGTGTTTCAAGGGTTCTGACTCAGAGAGCCTGGCCGCAAGCCTGACCAACTTCGTCCCTCCAGGTCATGGTGTCCTCTCCAGTCCTCAGGACTCCCTCCCCACACTGCTGCCCAGAGGTGTGAAACAGGGCAGCCGAGTGGACCCTGGGCTCTGCTGTCACTGCCTGTGCCCTCAGGAAGAGGCCCCCTACTCTGGGTTTGGAGTCTGCCCCGAGTGACCCCTTCCTCTCTCCTCTCTCTCAGTGAAGACAGAACCTACAGGAGACCCTGCCCTCCCCACACCTTCTGAACCAATCAACACGCACCCTTTCACTTCCCTCAACAGTGCCTTCTCAAACACCTACTACATGTGAGGCATGGTGCTGGGGCTGGGAAACCACAATGAGAGATTCAGACATGGCTCTGCTTTTGGAGGGGAAAGACCGGAAGATCAACTCACTTGGTGACAGATGAGGACTGTGAAGCCCATAACACAGGACTGAAATGGGAGCAGGGATATCTGGAGTGGGAGCTTAGAGCAGCAGCCAACTATGGGGCTGCCTGTGGGGAGAGAGCTGCCGGCCAAGGGGCAGCAGGAACAGTGGTCCTGGTAGATGTGGCCTGTAGGGACGCAGGTGAGCCAGGGTCTGGGAGGAAGGTGAGGCTGTGGGGAGGGCAGTGATGGACCCACTGCTTCCCCATCCTTCCCTGGAAGATGCCCCTCCTGTCACCAGAGTGAAAGAACTGAGTTACAGGGCCATGGCCATAAACGCTGTGGGCCCTCCTAGAGTGACAGGTTCAGCTGTGTTTCCCAAGGTCTCCAGTGACTCAGGAGACCAGAGGCTGGAGCCAGGATTTACAGGCATCGCACATTTTTAAAAAACTCTCAACTCACCCACTTCTCCAGATCAAGATTCCAGGGAGCTGCCAGCGTAGGCCATCTGTGTGGTTCAGCTCAGAACTTGAATAAGGAGAACGTCAACCCCTCCCGTCTACTGCTAGTTCAGCTGGGTGACCATGAGTAAGCGCTCTGCCTTCTTAAGCCTCCACTTTCCCATCTAAAAAATGGACACCCCACGGAGGGCCCTGCCTAGTTACTGGGCGGAATAAATGAGACTTCTGCATCAAGTGCCCTAGAACGTGCTCCATGAGGAACAGTACCCGTGATCACCGAGTTGAAAACTAGGAGTCTGGCTGACGGCCTCTGTGCTCCACCTGCATGAGCATTCCAGCAGGACAGGGGGAAGGAACTGACATCCGAGTCTGCTTGAGAGATCCACTGCACCGCCCTGTGCAGTCACTCCAGACAGTTCACAATGGAATAGTATCTGAGTATTTTTATAGCATCTTATTGAAAACTGCAAAATGCTGCTTCGTTTTCTCTCCTGATATTAAAAACCAATGAGTCAGAGAGTGAGGAATCTGCAGTGACAAAGGCTGCAATCCTCAATGATTTGGAAAACATTAAGGTAGGAAGAGTACTCTTGCCAGCTCTGCGCCTGGGTAGTTCACGGGCCTGTGGGCTCAGAATGCCAGAAGGCCCCGCCCACCTCTCCTTCTCACCTGTTCTATTCACTCCATCCCACTCAGCTCCAACTCAGGAACTGAGGGCAGCTTCTCTGGGATCCAGTCTGGTCCCTTGGGCTCCATGGGCCTCACTCCTCTGGCGCGAGTCACTCCATGCAGCTAAAGGAGTCCTGATAGGCTGAGTCAGACAGACACCGCCCCCTGGCTGCATGGCGCCCCGCCCACTCTCCCCTCCTCTGACACCCGTCACACAGGGGAATGCATGGTCACCTTTCTGGCCCGGGCTCCTGGCTGAGCCTCGCCCAATTCCACACACGTACCGAAGTGTCCAGCGCAGTTGGCTCCACCAGCACCGCCTCGCTCCCTGCCAGCCCCTCGCCCGCCGCTGCTCTGCGGAGTTCTCTCCTCTGCGCACTCCACTGTACACAGGGCTCCGACCTCGCTGTCCTGTCCACCCGGTCTCCTCCGCCATCCCTCTGTCGGGCCCCGGGAGCAGGGACTGGTGACAGGACGGACTAACTTCATCTCCTGTGACGTGGATAGACTGGACACCCCGGTATTCCTAAGCCACATTTCTTACCTCAGTCTGGGAGAGCTTGGTAAGACCAGAAACTGCAGCGCACTCTGAGCTGACTTCCTGTACAAGGACCCTCGTCCCACCCTGCCAGGGTTGGTCCAGTGGGTGCTCTATCGCTCATGCGTACAGGGCACCTGAAGGCTGGGCGGACTGCACAGACTCTGGGGTTCCTGGGAAAATCCCCAGATTCTAAAGGCACAAACTTCTTTACTGTGGAATTCCGGGATCCTGAACTTCTATGGCTTTCTCCGCTTTCACCATGCAACCTGAGTCAAGGATCCTGCCCCCAGGTGGTTATTAGGGTGAACTGACTCTGGACTGAGACCTCCGAATCAGGCGACCTTGAAGCAACAAGTGAAGTTTGTTCCAGCCCAGGTGCAGGCGTGCCGAGGGCGATAAGACCATTGGTCCTGCGTGAAGGGCTAGGGGAAGGTTTTATAGGAGTGTTTGGTTGGGAAGGAGTATGGCAGGGAGGAGTGGGAAATTTTTAGTCTGGGTCTGGGTTGGGTTTCTTGGTAATATCCTTATTTTAATGGTGCCACAGATGACATAATAGGGTACATAAAAGACCCCAAAAGCTATACAAAAAGACTTCTAGCATTAATGTGGAAATTCAGTAGTGTAAGTGGATCCAAAGTCAACACTCAAAAATCAATAGCATTCCTGTACACAAACAACAAACTCCATGAGAGAGAAATTAAGGAAACCACACCTTTCACAATAGCCCCCTGCCAAAATGAAATACTCAGGAATCAACCTAACAAATGAAGTAAGTCTATACATTGAAAATTATGGTACATTGAGAAAGGCGATCATAGAGAACATCAGAAAATGGAGAGTTCAGGGTCAGTGTGGGCTACAAAGTGAGTTCAAGGCCAGCCTGAACTGCACAGTGAAACTCTTTTCAAATTGACAAAAAATAATTGAAGCACCGAAACTGAGGGGACCTGAGCCCAAGGAACCCTCACTGACTGCCCACTGGTGCTGCTGCAGTTTCCTTACCCCATCCCTGGCCCTGTCAGCACCTCCCCCTGCAGGACAAGGACACAGACTAAAGTCAGAACTGAACACAGATGCAGGAACCCTGGGAAGGGGGAGAGCATGCTGGTCGGGCAGTCACTGATGCAGTGGTGTTGTCACGCCCGGCCCAGGGGAGGTCTTGGCCGGCCCGGCAGACCTGCTTTCCTCCTGCACCAGGGGAGGCAGGCAGCAGAGACTTCACAGAGCTCCTTTGGAATCCTGCAGGTTCACTGCTCTGGGGCAAAACAGGGTTCACAGCCCAAAGACTGCCCTGTGCTGAAGAACAACTTCTTTGTCTCCCTGCAATGCAGGTGCCTTGAGAAACAGGAGATGCTGCTTCCTGGAGTACCCAGAGGACCCTGGCTTCCTGCTGTGCCTGTGATTGTGTTTTTTATCCAGGTTGCCAGTGTTGGTACTGTGAACGTCCGCAGTACCAAAAGGAATCACCCATGTCAAATCTGGTAAGGCTGGGGTGAGGATGGAGGTGGAGCAAGTGCTTTGCATGACTGAGGCCTGGGCTGAATCCCCAGCGCTACACATGCGCATGCATGCACAAAGTCTGAGGTCCCTAAGGATGAGCTGTCATGCATGAATATCTTTATCAGATCTCATCACAGGAGGTTAGGACCACAGCACTCACATCAGATCCTTGTTCAAGAGAGCCTACCCCACTCCACCACCTCCAAGCAAGGACTTTGTTTGCAAACAGCTTAGGTGGACATCCTCCCTTTGTCTTTAGAAGTCACATTGGAGAGCCCTTTGCATAAGCTTGTGGCACATGCTGTCCCGGCTGCCATGAGAAATCTTGCTTTACAGTGAGAGTGTGGGCATAATGCAAAGTCCTTACTTTTGAACCACTGAGCCATGCTACCTGGTGCCTCCTAAAACTTGTTCCCTGAAACCACACCCTCCAAGTGCGCGTGTAGGTGCCAGGGGGATCTTATACTTTTACCAAATATCAGCAGAGAGGAAGGAACACTATAGTCTCACAGGGTCAGGCAAGGAATGGAGAGAACAAGAGGTGGGTAGTATGGGAAGGATCAGCCCATAGGACTTGCACTTGACCTGCATATAGGCTGCCGTCCCAATGCCATTGCAGTCTGTGACGTCTCCTCCTGCTGCTGCCAGTCTAGGGTCTCCCAGGATGCTCCATGCTGGTCCAAGGATGCCCATGGTTTTGCCTCAGGTGGGTCCTGCCTCTTCTCACTTCCGCTGATGGGGTGGGATCTCAGCCACACAACTGAAGAAGAAACTCAGTAGGCAGACCACAGCCCCAAAGCAAGGCAGGGCGGGAGCATCCCCCACTCTGCCTATGGCACAGATGAGCCCACAATGAAGTACAAAATCAGAAGATACCTGGGAGGCAGGAGACCCTTGGATATTGCCTGCGACATCATTTGCCATTGTCACATATGGTGTGGAAGAGCACCTGCACAAGAGAAGCCACCTGGAACACCAGAATGTGACTTAGGCGGACATATGGTCATTACAGATGGCCAGAGTGCAGATGAGGTCACTCTGGGTTGCAGTGGGCCCTAAATTCTATGAGTGGTGCTATTATACAAATGTACAGACCAGGTATGGGAGCAGTCTGGGAGGCTGAGGGAGGAGTCCAAGGAAAGGGAGTGTGTGGATATAGCACAGTGCAAATAAGGAGACAGAGGCAGATAGACACAGGCACCGACACAGATATAGCTCAGCGTGAACACAGACAGAAAGAAACAGACAGACAGACAGACAGACACAGACACAGAGAATGTCAGAGAAGGACAGAGGCAGAGATGGATGCAGTGCTACTGCAGTGTCTGGGGCCTCCTAGAGCCAGAAAAACAGGGAGGACCTTTTTCTACAAGAGTGTGGCCCGGTGACACCTTGGTTTCAGATTTCTGCTCTCCAGACCTAGGGGATGATCCATTTCTTTGTGTTACCTGGAGCCCAGCAAATTGCAAAGCATGTCCCATCTGCTGAGGCACTCAGGCTGTCTCATGGGGTGTGTGCTCTGCCCTCCACGAGTGCATGCAACTTGCCTTCTCCAGGACTTGTGATCAAGGCAGTTCCCATGGGGGTGCTGCCCCCACCCATGTGCACTGGCTCTTCCCACTTGGGGTCCAGGGC